TGTTGCTGTGGTGCTGCTAGAAGCTAGGTTACTGGTATTTTAAATACCATCAGGGTACACCCATGGTGGACAAGTTTCAGCGGACTAAGACAGACTAGGAAGAAGGATAAGTGAACTGCTTCTGAATGTTTACAATCTTGCTTGCTGAAAATAAAGAGGACTTAAAATAGTTATTGATGAAGATCAAAGACTACAACCTTCAGTATGGGTTGCACATCAATGTAAAGATAAAAAGATTCTCACCACTGGACCAATAAATAATATCATAATAGATGGAGAAAAGATTGAAATTGTAAAAGACTTCATTTTGCTTGGATGTACTATCAACACTCATGGAAGAAGCAGTCAAGAAAGATTTGCACTAGGCAGATCTGCTGCTCAAGACCCTCTCAAAATTGTTCAAGAGTCAGAATGTCAGTTTGAGAACTAAAGTGTGCCCAACCCAAGCCAATGCACTGGATGGCAAGGTCAATTTGAACTGTAAGCTCGGCAGTTCAAATTCACCAGCCACTCCTTGGAAACCTTGTACAGTGTCACTATGAGTCAGAACTGACTTGATAGCACTAAACAACAAAAACAACCCAAGCCATGGTATTTTCAGTAACCTTATATACATATGAAAGTTGGACAGTGAATAAGAAGACAGTAGAAGAATTGATGCATTTGAGTTATGTTGTTGGAGGAGAATATTGAAAGTACCATGGACTGCTAGAAGAACAAGCAAATCTGTGTTGGAAGAAATACAGCCAGAGTGCTCCTTAGAGACCAGGATGATGAGACTTTGTCTTTCATACTTAGGACATACTATCAGGAGGGACCAGTCACTGAAGAAGGACATCATACTTGGTAAAGTGGAGGGTCAACGAAGAAGAGGAAGACCCCCTGATGAGATGGATTGGCACAGTGACAGCAGAAATGGGCTTAAGTATAACAATGATTGTGAGGAAGGAACAGGACTGGGCAGCATTGCATTCTTTTGTGCATAGGATTGCTATGAGTTGGAATCAACTTGATGGTACCTAACAATAACAACAAATGTATTCTGTCATTTGATAAACTTGCTTTGTTTATCCATTCTTTAGTAGAATGGATACTTTCCAGCTTTTGTGGTTGGTAGTTATGTGCTGTGGAATTGTTTCCGATTCATAGCGACCCTGTATAGGGTTTCCAAGGCTGTAAATCTTTATGGGAGCAGAAAGCCTCATCTTTCTCCTATGGAACAGCTGGTAGTTTCAAACTGCTGACCTTAAGGTTCACAGCCCAATTTGTAACCACTATGCTACCAGAGCTCCTTTCCAACTTTGGCTATTAGGAACAAGAATGCTATGTTGTTGTAAGTCAGAATCAACTCAACTCAATAGCAGTGTGTTTGAGGTCTTGGATACATGCCTTTTTATGGGCATATCATTTTATCACTTCTTTTCATCTCTTAATTTCATAAAATTGGTTGCTGAATTTATTTCTTGTTTACTTTCCTATACCTACCTACCTTTTTCTGAGAGAGCAAGCTTTTAAAATTCATTTACGTTAGAATGCTTTGTTTCATTACCCAAATGGTTTTGGTTCATTAATTTGGCTGCAACAAGTAATAAGACATATCTGGAATATGATTGCTAAAGGGCAAGTTTGATGTGGTATGTGACCCTTTATTTGCATAGAATTCTGCTGAAATGTCAAGTTCTTCAAACTCAGTATCTGAGCCCTCTGAAACAAAGTCTGTAGCAGATAGTAACCACAGTTCCCAGCTCCAGAGCCCCCTTGCTCACATTTCCATTCTTTGCAGCATTCCCTGATTATCACTAGTAGTACTGTCCCCACAGCCTCATCCATTTGGCTTTCTGGGTACCGCTAGCTACCTTAGTTCACAAAGGGAAGATCATTTGCTGTATTTTTTTTTGGCAAAATCCCTTAGTTTCTGTTTATCCTGGAATGTTTTGATTATTGTATATTTCATTGATAGCTGTGCTGTATAAAGGATTCTTGATAGCAGTTTTTTCTTTCAGGGTTTTATATATGTCTCCTCATTGCCTTCTTGCTTGCATGGTTTCTGCTGAGAGATCCGAGCTTAATCTGACTTGATTGTCTGTGTATGTAACACTTCTGTTTTCCCTAGCTGCTTTTAGGAGTGTCTCCTTATCTTTGATTTTGGAGAGCTTGTTTATGATATGTCTCGGTGATTGTTTTTTGGGGTCTGTCCTTCCCGGGGTTCGTTGAGCTTCTTGAATGTTTATCTTTTCACTTTTCAGGATGTTAGAGAAATTTTCTTCCAGCAGTTCTTCAACTATTTCCTCTGTGGACATGTGTGATTCTTCTTGTTC